TTGGTTACATTGCCCTTGATCAAGCCCTACCAGGTCTCCTACACCCTCCTCACCATTGATTGTGGATCACTTGTTCCCTTTCCCTGGGTTGTTGGATTAAATTTTATGGCAATAATATGACTATACATAAGAGAATTTATGGTCCAAACTATTAGAAAAAATTTTTAATTCTGAAAAGTTCCCAGAAACAACTTTAATAAATGAAAAATGTTAGGATTATACACTAGAGACTGAAAACTAGAAAATCTAATTTTTAAAATGTTATTTACAATAGCATCAAAACAAGTTATATACCTGGGGATCCAGGTCATGTGCCATAGAATTCTGAGACATTGACCCCTGGACCTTCAAGGTGCACAAGACATTCCACAGGCCATACCATAGGGATGCAATGTGGAACTAGGCTCTACCTCAAACACACCTATAACCTAAGGACTTAAGATTGAAACTACATGCATGCTATGTAAAAAAAACAGAATACAGCTATACCAAGAGTACTGAACTATCAATAAGTGGACCAACATTTACTTACTACTCCAATGCCCTACTTGCTATAAGATATGTATTATTCTGAAAGGCATGTCTGACATTGTTAGTAATGATTATTGTAAGTTTTGCCTGACCATTAACTTCCATGGTTTATATAAAGCATCCAGTCACACAAGAATTTATTCTGTACAAGTCAATAATCTATGTATTGAGATTTGTAGTTAGCCTACACTTGTTCAATCTCCTTTTCTTACAAGTGTTTCAAACAATCAATGACACTATAAACAGGTCCTTATGCTCCAGGGAGATGATCAATAAAATACCATACATTAACAAGGATGTCTCTAGGGTGAACCAGAGGCAGATAAAATATATAGATTCGGGAATAGATTTTAGGCTCACACTTTATCCGCTCCAAACTAAGAACAATTAGTTCTTATGACATGGCCCTGCTCAATACTCACCCTCATGGAGAAAACACAGAAGATATGAGTGCTAAAGCAAAGTGTGGTGAAGGAATCAGGTGGTGGCCGGCTATCAAAAAGAATCGTAACTGGGATTTTAAAGGCTTGTCTTCAAACAAACTGTCATATAAGTGAGATATCTACTAAGCTCACATGTAAGAAGCACACCAACATCCTTGAGACACAGACTGTAAATATTATAATACAACCCCCGAAGGAGGGAGTAGAATCAGAACTTAAGTGTGAGATTCTGGTGTGCAGAGGCTATGGATGAAAGTGGAAGCCAAAATACATTTGCAGGATCTACACAAGGAATAAGCCTCTGATGATTTCCCTCTAACCATAATTGAGGGATAGAAATAACCAGATTATCAAACAGATTACTGGAGAGACGACTATAATAGATTAAAATGAAAAATATGATCTGAACCTGAATGGTTAAAACCTTGTCATTTGATCTTCCTTTTGATATACTTTGTGCTTGATTTGGTTTCTAATATTTTCTGTGATTTTTTTTTTCATATTGGGATTTGTATCTATTATATTTTTCCACTCATGGTAGCCTTTCTACTGGTGGTTTTCAACTGCCGACCACATGGCTCACAGTCCAATGTGTAACCACTACACACTAAGGCTCCTATATGAAACCCAGGATAGGTGAATCTATGGAGATAATGTGATAGTTAGGTTTTCTGTGCCAACATGGCTCCCGTAGGAACATGTAGGTGGAGTTTATCCTGTCAATCAGGTCACAGCTTAATTGGAGGCGACCAAGATAAATGGCTTTCCAAGCCTGGCCTCCTTCTCCCTTTCTCCCTGGAGGTGGGCCATACACACAGTCCCTCGGCTTTCACTTTCCTCTTGACAAGCCACATAGAGCCACTCTGAGACCTGGGAAAGCCATGGAGCTGCTTCCACCACCACTGGATCCATAAGACTTTGCATCCACTGGGCCGTTATCTTCCTGCATTTTGTATCATTGCATGTGCTGCATGAGTTTGAAGTTTATGGACTAGTATCAGACTTATGGGCTTAATCTGAACTGGGATGTTTTCTTAATATACAATTACTCTGATATAAACCTCTTTCTTATACATATATGAGTGTCCCTGGATTTGTTTCTCTAGTCAACCCGGTCTAACACAGATAATAACTAGAATAAGGGTTCCTGGGGTACGGCAGACAAGATGTGGGGAGAAGGTGGAGATGATATCAAAGAGTTCCAGAAGTAGGAAAATTTTTTGAAACTGATTGTAGCAGTGATTGTACAATCCTACTTGACATGACTTAACTATGGAATGGTATGATACCTGGAGTAGGTTCTAATAAAATGCTTTGGGTTAAAAAAGACTACCTGTGAAAAAAATGGAACCAATAGCATGGACACTTAGTGTACAGATTGTGAAATGGGACCCTAATTCGCTGTGTAAACCCTCACTAAAGACACACTAAAACATGACTTAAAATAAAGGAAAGGGAACTGGGGGGGCAGTAAGTTATGCAGTTAAGAATACACAGAGCAAAAGTCCAAAGGAAATTATAAACTTTCTATTGAAAGATATAAATGAGAATAAAAAATTTTAAGAAGAAGAAGAGTTATATATGTCCTTAAGTTACTCTATAAATGTAACATAATTTCATTCAAAGTTCCATATGGCTTTTCATTTGAGTGGGGTAAAGGGGGAAATTATACTTGATAAATTGATGCTCAAACTGATAAGGAAGAACAGGTTAAAAAGCCAAGACAGATCTGAAGAAAAATAAAAGGTGAGGAGACTTGTTATACTGAATATTTTCAAAAAAGGTGGAGCACTAAGAGAAATGCTATATAAAGTCACACTATAAGTTGGAAGCAACTCAATGGCAGTGAGTTTGGTTTTTTATCTTGGTAAAGGGAATGACAAATGGACCTACAGCACTGGATGAAGAGAACATTGGTAACCATTCTGGGGAGCAAATTCACTCAATCTATTAAAGTCAAAGATGTATGCTACACCTGTGACCGACCCAGTAATTACACTTTTAGGCATAACCCTAGAAAACTTTCACATGAGCATAAAGAGATATGAAAAATAATGTTCAATTTATCATTATTTGTACCATCAAAAATGAGAAAATGCACATAAAGAGAACATCTAAGCTGTGGTATATTAATATTATGGAATACTACACAATAGTATAGAATAAATTAGAACTACACATACAGTGTAGTTCAATCTCCTGTCTAAAACACAATGTGGAGGTGGGTTGGAATATGATGAACAAGGTGAGATACAGTTTGGCTTAAAATATGCAAAACTACACTACATATACTTTTTAAGGTTAGATACAAACATAAGAACACAAAAGAAAGTGATAAACATCCAATACAGGATATATTTTAGCTCTTGTGGGGGGTTGGACCAGAAGGTTAAGGGGGAAAAGACTAGGTGGGAAAACAAAAGATCTTTCAATTGTATGTGTAATACTTTATTTCCCTATTTTAAAAAAGAAAATCTGGAATAAATATTGTAAACTAGTAAGATCTGACATGGAAAAGTTGGGTATAAGATAAATGGCTGTTATATTATTATCGCTATTCCTTTCTATATGCTTGAAATAATTAATGATTCTGTTGTTGTTGTTATACAAAATGCAGTTCAACTCACTGGCAAGGTTCATGGAATTTTAATTCAGAGATTCCTAAATGTGGTGAAGATGTACAATACCAGAAATCAGAGAAACATTTTGGAAAATAAATGAGGAAAAGCAGCAATCTGAATATTCTAATCATTTTGTCAGGTGAAGGACTATACCTACCTGTGAGTGCCAAATAAGAAGCAATGTACCGCTTTTCCAGTCCGTCTTTGACACTCTGAATGGCACCAAAGAGGGGAGGTATAATCATAATCAGGTTACTGACTGTATTCCCTGTAACAAAAAAAAAAATTAAGATTTTAGATTAATCAATAACAATATATATAAGTAGGTATTTACTTGATTGAAAATAAGACCTTCGGTCCGGGGGGCTGGCCCCAGTCCCAAATACTAAGTGGATGCCTGCCCCTCCCCATAGAAGAAGTTATTTCAGAGGACGGCACTGAATCCACAGCTCTGGGAGAGGGACATATGTGATCAGAGCACACAGGAGCAGATGA